AGGGTTAACAACATGAATTCAACAGAATGGAAATCGTTTTGTCTTTTGTTGAATGTGTCCCTAACGTTTTCCATCAGAGACAAGGGTTAACAACATGAATTCAACAGAATGGAAATCGTTTTGTCTTTTGTTCAATGTGTCCCTAACTTTTTCCATCAGAGACAAGGATTAACAACATGAATTCAACAAAATGGAAATCGTTTTTGTTTTTAATTCAATGTGTCCCTAACGTTTTCCATCAGAGATAAGGGTTAACAACACGAAAACAATGGCATGCCATACGTAATTTCAGTTATTCACACATAATAGATTAGTTGAGGAAGCTTGTCGTATATTCGGATAACACTCTGAAAATATATCTTAACTCTTATTACTCTAATACATATCGTTATTCTTATCTGGATAGCGAGAATTCTTATCAATAAGAACTATAAAAGGACTTGGTTAAACCTCCATAACCAAATATTTTACGTTTCTGTTTTGTTTGTTCAAAGTATTATTACAATGATTAACATAAATGCATAGTACACGAGTTTATATTTGTTACTTTAATAATGTTTTTTATTAATATTTATTGCATTTACTCCGATTACAAAAAACAAAATACATTAAACATTTCTCGACCAATAAGAAGCCAACTTTTAAAAAACTTTGCCAACAAACGTGGTTCTAAAAGAGCACGCATACGCATTACTGACAGAAGTTAAAACATCAATTACGTGTTACACGTCGCCCTTGACCTGTATATGTTTGCTGATGAAGATCGAGCTGAGACTTTCAAAACTGCAAGTCTTCTTAGTTCACTTTATTTTGCAGATATCAGCACAATTAGTAAAGTTGAAAGTTTGTATATTTTTAGGGTCGATGGGTTTTGATTGACATCTGGTGATATTTTACCCAAACAAATACCAGCAAATCATTAAAAAAAACTAATACGATTTACACACACACACGGCCCGGCATGGCCAGGTGGTTAGGGAGCTCGACTCGCAATCTGCGGGTCGCGGGTTCAAATCCCCCTCACACCAAACATACTCGCCCTTTAAGCTGTGGGGGTGTTATAATGTGACGGTCAATCCCACTGTTCGTTGGTGAAAGAGTAGCCCAAGAGTTGGCGGTGAATGGTGATGACTAGGGTTCGAATCCCCGTCCCACCAAACATGCTCGCCCTTTCAGCCGTGGGGGCGTTATAATGTGATGGTCAATCCCACTATTCGTTGGTGAAAGAGTAGCCCAAGAGTTGGCGGTCAATGGTGATGACTAGGGTTCGAATCCCCGTCCCACCAAACATGCTCGCCCCTTCAGCCGTGGGGGCGTTATAATGTGATGGTCAATCCCACTATTCGTTGGTGAAAGAGTAGCCCAAGAGTTGGCGGTCAATGGTG